TCGTGGTGATGTTTCTTTCTTGAACACACTTTCGTTCAATCAACGCTCGAGTTGGGACCCTGCGTCCTATGCACTGTAGGCGCTTAAATACCATGGAGCCGTGGCCTGCTTAAATGGTCCCCCTATGAGTCTAGAAGCAAAGGGACAGTGCAAACAGCTGCTGGTTAAAGTGAGAAATTGATTTTTCTTTCTTTGCATTTTCACTGTTTCAATCCGGTATCAATATTTTTAATGTGATATATTCAGCGGCGGTATCGATAGCTCCCCAGAACATCGGGGTTCCATTTTGTCAGTGAAAAACTTTTATTTAAAATTTTTCACATAGGACAAATTCGTGCTCTGACTCAGATTTTCTCAGCCCTCATCAGCCAAATAATGAAACTCATCAATTCCTTTACTTTTATTGGTAAAGATCAGCAGTCCGACGGTGTGTCAGCATTAGTTCTGGTATTCGAATTAGATTTCACTCATTCAAATTCTGATAGAGCTCTACTGCTTACTCCAGAGGTGCGGGCATCGCTTTCAATGACCAAAGTTAAAATCAGGAATTCCTCCCTGAATGAGTGAAACGGGACAGTCGCATCTTGAGAATGGCGCTAGCTTCGGTTAATGAACGAAGAAACAGAAACGACGACAGAAGGAAAGGCGTGCAAAACAGCGACCGTCTACATTTTCAGAAAAAACCACAAGTTGCAAAAGTTCATAATTAATACATCCACTCTTACCACTGCTTGGATCATAGTGACAGCCAAGTATCACCACGTCATTACAACCTTCGAAAAGTTCGGAATCGCGAAATTCCTCGTATCCCGGTTCAAAGCTAAAGCACGTTTCCAGCATGTGGCAATAACGTGAAATAGCCAATACAAATTTTTTCACATGAAGCTGACGCTGCACCAGAATATCCCAGCACAATATCTTTTAGCAATGACCTGGCCAAAAGAAGTACCGTAATGATCGGCAGGTTTTAATATCCTTCTGCTGTCGAATGATCAGAAAATGTTTCGTACATATAAGTGTTGCACAGTATCGAAAAATTCAAAACCTTTGCTTTCCAACATGATTCTGAAAACACTTGCCTATAATCAAAGAAAACTCTACACAGGATGAAAGAACAAATGAGCAGCAACAAAGTTATAGAAAAAAATATATATCAGCAAAGCCTAAAGGTAAAA